GCACTTATTCCACTGAGCCATCTCCCCGGCCCCCAGCACTTATTATTTTGAGGCAGGGTCTTGCTAATGTAGCCCAGCGGGCTGGCCTCAATTTTGCAATCCTCCTGCCTCAGTCTCCCAAGTGGGGGGATTACAGTCTTTTAATTAATTAATTAATTAATTAATTTACTTATTGTCTTTTGGAAACAGGGTCTTGCTATGCAGTTCAGGCTGGCCTTGAGCTCGCTATGTAGCCCAGGCTGGTCACAAACTCACAATAATCCTCTTGCCTCAGCCTCCTGAGTGCTGGGATTATAGGTGTGCACCACTGTGCCTGGCCAGTCTTCCTTTAAAAGAGATGAAAACATTCCCATGGTCCCTTAATTAAAGCTCTGTGGTCCTGAGTCAGGCCTGGGGCACAGGGAAGCCCAGCACAGCCCACACTCGGCAAGGGTGGCTTGGGATCAAAGCAGGTCAAGCCCCGAGGGGCAGGCTGGAGACCAGATGCACAGGGCTGAGAGGTCATGTGGCTCTCCACGCCCAGGCGTCCTGGTGGGCAGGGAGCTTGGCCTAGGTACGCACCCCGGGGTCCTGGCCGAGTCTGGTCACCACCCCCACGGCCACCTCAGTGGGCTCTCTGGAAGTGTGGATGTGTGCAGCGAGGGGTCAGCACAGTCCTTGAGTCCTCCTGCTGACCTCCCATAAGCCCCTTGTCCTGGGCGCAGGCCGACTTTCCTGGGTGCAGGGGCCTCAGATCCCTCAACCTCACCCTCTCCAGGGCACCTGCCTGGCTCCCCTCCTCTCCATCCTGGGGGCTCCCACAGGCCCTGGCTCCCCTGCCTCTGTTCCCTGCCACCTGGCCTGAAGGCTCTTTGGGCCTCCTGTGCCTTGTCCTGCCCGAGTGTCCCAGACAGCCTTGTCCCAGAGGGCCAGGTGCCAGCTGGGACCCTCAGCCAATGGACTCCTTTCCATACCACTCTCCTCCCCCTCTTCCCTCCTTCCTCATCCATGGCACGTGCTAGGCAAGGGTTCTGCCCTGAGCTACACCCCAGCTGTGTGCCATCTTCATCACTCCGGACAGGAGTGGCCAGGTCATAACAGAAATCTGGAAGAGGCCTGCCCGGTGCCTACCAAGCGCTGGCCACAGTGCAGCCCCAAGCAGCCTCTGCTGTCCCACTCTGTCCCCCTAGGCACTGCCAGCCAGCAGGGGGCAGCTCTGAAGAGCTGGGAAATTCACAGCAGGCTGTGCGATCCCCAGGGCACCGGTGAGGGTGCAGGGTGGACACTGGGAAGCCCGCCGTCCACACCCATCTTGCTTCCAGGTCCAGCCATGTGGCACTGCCTGGGCCGTGCAGAGGACGCAGAGCTTGACCCCCAGTGCCAGCAGGCAGCATCAGGCCCACGCTACGAGTTTGTCAGCTGCAGGCTTGCCAGGACTAAAAGTGACTCACAGCACAGTGGCAGCCTTCAGGGGACAATGGGCAACACCTGTCCAACAGGCGACCTTGAGTGTGAGGCCAGGCACAGGACCAGTCCTGCAGGATTCTTCCTGTGTGAGGTCTCCCCAAAGTCAACAGGAAGTATCAGGGAGGGTGCCAGGGCTGGGAAGACTGGACCAGCGTCAGGGGCGCGGGGCTCGCATTTCGCAGGCTGGGATCTCTGCGGGTGGACGCGGTAACGCTGCATGACAGCATGACGTGCCTGATGTGTGACCTCAAGCCGGCAGCATCGGATAATGCACACATTTTATCACAACAAAAGTAATCGGGGCTGGGTGCCGCTCCGTGGCAGAGCGCTTGCCGCTTGGCAGAGGCTCTGGCCCCGGCCCAGCACCTCAACAAATTTAAACTAAAAGTATGACCACCCAGCCAGGCGGGGGCGCGCCTTCCTCGCACTCCCCGCCTACCTACCCGGCAAGCGCCAAGTATGAAGAACTTGCTGGCTTTGGGGTGCCTGCCCGTTTGGTGTAGGAGAGGAACGCGGGAGGGTGTCCTGGACACTCAGGACTGAAAGGCCAGGGGAGACCCAGCTCCCCGTGGCGACTAGAGCAGTGAGGTCCAGGCACAGCGAGGAATTCCTGTTCGTAGCCGCGCGGAGGGGCGCCGGACCCTGGCTCGTAGGGTTCCTGTCTCTCCCTGCTCTGCCCCTGCGCCCCACCCTGACTCCTTGGCCGGTCCGACGGCATCTGAGGGGAAGGTGAAGGTCACCGCGCCCCCGCGAGGCCAGATCCGGCGAGGGGAGGGGACGAGGACCCAGCCTGCTCCGCGGCCAGTCGTGGCCAAGGTCGCGCGTTCAGCGGGCCATCGCCGGCGGAGGTCGCACGTGTAGGTGTATGTGAGGGGGTAACTGCAGTGGGGGGGTGTGCACATACACATGGACGTGTGACATGGCTTAGACCTGGAGTCCCCGCGGGCCTCCTTGGCTCTGCAGCGGGGCTTTTGGAAGGTGACTGCACCTTCAGCTAGAAGAGCTGACTTGCCGAGAGGAGGCGGGGCCTGTTGGAGGGGCGGGGCCTGTTGGAGGGGCGGGGCCCGATGGGGGCGGGGCCTGTTGGAGGGGCGGGGCCTGTTGGAGGGGCGGGCCTGGCTGGGAGGAGCCTCCTCTGGGCGGCCTGGCGTTGAAGGGATGTCTCTCCCCATTCCTCCCTCCCTCTCCACTTCGGGGGGCCACCACACCCCGAGCAGGCCTTCTGTCCAGGCCCTCTACATGCTGCCAATCATGCAGGGGCGAAACTTCTGAACCAGAAGCTGAGGAGGTGAGAGGGTGTCCTACCCACGCCTTTCTTCAGGCTTCTTACAATGTCCCTTTCTCTACATCTGGTCGCCTCCTTGGGTCCGGGGCACGGGGGCAGACTCTTGCTCTTTGGAGGCTACCCTTGGCCACTCAGCTGACTGAAGAAAAGTCAGGGCTGGCTGGGAACCCCGAGATGACCAGCAGGTAGTGCCACATTCTGCACAGATACAGCTTCCAGGCAACCCCCATAAATCCGGTGAAGGGGCCTGCGAGGCTGGCAGCCTGGGAGTTCTGGGGCTTTTCTCGCCGTCCTTCATGGTCACGAGCTGCCAATTTTGGTCCGATGAGGACTCACCAGGCCCGAGTCCGAAGCAGTCCACTTCCTTCTGCCTGAATCCATCTCCATCTTCATGGAAATGTTAGTGTCCCACAGTGTGCAGTGGGACACGCAGTCGCCGCAGCCGTCACAGCTCACCTGTGGGATGGTGCAGGTGACTGACTCCCCGGAGACAGCACACCTGCTGGACACCTGCCGAGCTGGGGCCCTGGGGGC